ACAGATATATTTTAAATAGCATTTTCAATTTGAAAAAAAATTTTAAAGCTGAAATTTTTATCTATCTCATGCTTTGAAAATTCAGTTAAAATATGAATATAAAAAAAACTTGTAAGACAAAATTTAAGTGAAATAAATTTCTGAAAGTTTTTAGATCATTCATTATACATTNATTAAACAGAGTATGAGTAAACAAGGCACTGAATTAACATTTGACTTTCAGAAAAATCAGATTCATTGAAAGATGCTTAGCGAATAGGTGATGGAGATGATGACAGAGTATACATCAGATCTATGTTTTTATCCACTTGATTATTTTTTAATTCTTGCAGGGTTTGTACAAATTGTGACCACTCATCACTCTTTGGATTTGCAAGTTGCTGAAAAAAAAATTCATATAACTTGTAACAATAAACTAATCTAATGAATTTATAACACTAAGCAAAATTTATTTTTTGAATATTTAAAACTTAAAATAGAATAAAGATTTATCAAAAGCATACAAAAGATATTTAATGAATGACTAATCTTAACATAGAAACGAAAATTAAACCTTTTATTTCAAGTGCTTCTAATGAATTATAAGAAATATTAATAATAAATCAAAGCATTGCATAAAATCTAATATTTTAACATTCTTTAATAGAATGTTAAAATATTCCTCCTCTAACTATAAATTTTTTTGTTGATCAGAAACAAAAGCTAAGATCTTTTTATATTTAAATGGAAAGCTGAATTAATCAATGCACTTTTAAAGGCAGGTGAAGTTTAAAATATGCTAACAGTTACATATTAAAGATGTTGTTAAAGATGCAGTGATTAATTCCAATTCATCCTTACTACATGAAAAGAGTTAATTTGCAATGTATATTTTTTAATATGTTGAAGATATTTAGATTATTGTCTTTTATCAGTAATAATATAATTACAACTCTGTGTTAAAATATTATCTCAACAACAGTAAAGCATTTATTCTTGTATTAGAGTATTAAAGCACTCCAATTTTAATACACTTTATAATATAAATGAAAAATTATGAGCAAAATTAAGTTTATTCAATTTCTAATCATTCTCAATTTGAATTAATTCATTACTTTTCCTTTCACTTAAAATAAATGACTCATGAATATTCTAAGAAGTAATTGTCATTAAATTTAAGAAGTAATTATGGTCTATAATTATAAAAGTCATTTAATAAATTTTTAAGATACATTAAAAAATGATTTACTTACAATCTGTATGAGCTAGAAATTTGAAAAATTAATATGAAATATTATGTAGTTCTTATGCATTCATATTATAAATATATGAAGTTTCAAATTTCTAACTTAGAAACACTCTAAATCCAAACACAGTCATATGCCATTATTTACTTCTGTTAATATCATAATTTTAAAGTAACTTCATTTATACAAAAATTTATAGAAGACAGATGTAGATTCTTTTATTTCAAAAAAAATTTTAATACACACACTTGATACATCTTAAGGTTGGTTTACACATTATGACTACCAATGACATTTTGTTACATCCAAAAACATGCACACAAGATTTGTTGATGAGTCAGTGCAGAAATAATTGAAGTTTATCTGAAAAGTAATGAGATCTCAGAGAAATTATTATTATAGAACTAACTAAATATATGAATTTATACTCGGAAAAATATTGTAACTGAAATAAAATAATATTTGTTCTAAGCAAATTGCTCATTAGCTTCAATATTCATAGATTATGTATTAATATGATAATAGATTTATTTAGTCTAATTTATCTCAATAATTCCAAATTTTAATAAAGTAATTAAAATCACATTGAATAAAGCATTGAAATATAATCCAGAATCATATTTTTCATATAAATTTGNAATATATTAGGATTCTATACTAGGATTTAGTATATAATAAAGATTTTTAAATTTAATCTAATCTAATTTATTACTGCTGTTTCACTATGTTAAAACAATATATTTCTGTTTAAAATTTATTGAGAGTCCATTAAAATATTTAAATTAAATCTTTCATTGATTATAAAAATGTTTAATTAACTAAAACTCAAAGACAAAAGTTACTAAATTTAAAACAAAAATTATTCAATGCAGACCTTAACAGAAATTTAACAATCTATAATTACAACATGGAAAACAATCTATTTAAATTGTCAATATTGTTGTTTATACAGGGTGAGCCCAAAATCCCTTGCATTCTTTTCATTTGAAAAGTTATGAAGATATAATTCTTTTGTTACTGTAGTTACTTAAGAAGTCATGAACAGATAATCAGATGGGTCTTTTGTTGACCTTGAAAATCATTTTCAAGATCAAAAAATTATTATATCTTCATAACTTTTGGAATGAAAAGAGTGCAAAGGACTTTTAACTCACTCTGTATATATTGTTTTATCACTGATCATCATCACAGTTTTTATATTTTGGATTAATATCCAAAAACATTTAAGATGTATTTTTGTCTATTCAGGTTTCAGAATTCCAAAGCCACTACTTTTTATTTTTAGAAATGCAACTTTACAATTGGAAAATGCAATTATTTTCTGAATATATACAGTAACAATGATTATCTTTTTTATTCTATTGACATCAGATAATTATTCCATTGATAATATCCATAAATAAAAAAAGATCATATATTCAAAAATATTACATTAAAAATATAAATATTTTTCAAAAATATCTTTCAGAACATTAAAAAATCATTTTTTTTATCTTTTAAAAAATTATAAGTTTTATTTTGTAAGCAATTATGTATAAATTTTCTCAAGTTTTATTATAAAAAGACTATGAAATTTTTCATATCTTAAATTAATTTCAATTGAAGTAAAAATGTTATAATTATTAATTAAATATAACAAATAAAGGTAAAATTTTCAATTTATATTCTTGACTTCAAAATCTTCTTTAACATAAAACTGCAATTTGTGAATGTTCTTAAAATTTCCTATTATCTGATAATTAATTATATTTGGAAAAATATTGTTTAAAAAATTCCTAATAAAAAAGTGTAGTAAATATCCAAAAATATAAATTTATTTATATATATATATATTCATAATTTATGCTTAATATTCAAGATTATAATAAAAAATACATATAAAAATAAAAGTGAAACTTTAAATAATGCAGAAATAATTGAAGTTTATCTGAAAAGTAATGAGATCTCAGAGAAATTATTATTATAGAACTAACTAAATATATGAATTTATACTCGGAAAAATATTGTAACTGAAATAAAATAATATTTGTTCTAAGCAAATTGCTCATTAGCTTCAATATTCATAGATTATGTATTAATATGATAATAGATTTATTTAGTCTAATTTATCTCAATAATTCCAAATTTTAATAAAGTAATTAAAATCACATTGAATAAAGCATTGAAATATAATCCAGAATCATATTTTTCATATAAATTTGTAAGATTTTCTTCAATTTTTTTGTTTTGTTATACAAAACCAAAATTTTCAATTTTAAAAAATAATTAAGTCACTGCAGTTATCAAATTATGAAAATACTGCAATGATTTCCTTGTGTATTTATCAATCATCATTAATTTCTTATATGTTCTTTATATAATTAATACCATAATCTATATTAAACAATTGAAAAACTGGACATTGAAATAACAAGAAACTGATCTAATTAATACATTTCAATTGTTTTGAAATTTTTATAAAATTGGTCTTACAATTCATTTTATATTATATTATATAATATATAACATCATCTTTAAGATTATATTGTATCTTATTTAAACTGAACTGTATTATGATAGACTTTATCATATAACTTTTCAGAAAGCTTACTATTTTTTAAAAACTTATTTGCATTAAATAAAATTTTGAGTATTTATTTTGCATCATTTTCAAATTTACTTATTATTATATGTGACTTTTATAATGAAAAATAAATTAATTAATTAATTTTATCTCTATATTTTATATGCAAATGATATACAGTAAAATCTATTTTAAAATTATACATAATTTTATCTGGACTTTTTCACCCTGAGGACACTAAGGTGGTCTTTTCTTCCAGGTTCACTGTGGGCCAGGTCTACAATAGAGTGGCTGAGTAGTGAGGGACAAGGTCCAACATACCCAGAGTAGACCATAAAAAAAAAATTCCTGGAGTTCTTTGCCTGCTGGATTTGATTCTGGGTTCTCTACAGTAATAGGCTAATATCTTAACTGCTTCAGCACACAATTTAGAATATTTAAAATTTTTATAACTACATACTACAAGATCATCAGTATATGAAATAATAATAATAATAATAATAGTAATTAATTATAACAAAAGAATAAACAATCTTATTTTTCAATGAAATTAATCAAATTTTGTTCAGCATTCAAGTCCAGTATTGTTACATAAAACAGCCATTTTTATATTTGTCTTAAGGTTATTCTATATAATTAATATTTATGAAACTTTATTGAAAACTGCTTTATTTCATTTATATATTTCAAGATTAAATATAACAACAATTAAATGTAGAACAAAATAATAATTAAAATTATTATTACAACTACAGAAAATTATTAAAACTTAAAACTTTAAATATAATAACAACGGAATTTTATATTTATTTTTGAACTTTATGATGATAATTCATTATCAGCTCATATTCATTTTATCTGATAAAAATTAAGATATTTTCTTTTATTTTGTTTATTATTTAATTAAAATATTTTCATCTCATTAAACTCAAATTGCAAATACAAAAATATTAAATCTTTTATAAAAAAAACTTGCAAAATTCTAAACCAGGTCTGTGTCAAGTTAAAATATATAAAACATGTGCAAGAAATTAATTAATAAAGGAATATTAATTTAAATTATAAATAAGTTATTTATATAATATTTCAATACAAAAATACCTGAAATATGTATATTTCAAAATGCATGTAATAACATTATATTAATTAAATTTCCTTTTGTAAAATTTATTTAGTTAATATCTTTGGAATGTAAAGAATAAGCAGTAGAACAAAAAATTATTTGCAATTATTTGAATTTTATCAATTGGCCACCCATTGTAGAATTTTTATAATTATAAATAAATATTTTTTCATTCAAAATTTTAATGACAGTAATTTCAATAAATGCAAACAATCATTGTCCAACTGATAAACAATTTAAATCTAATTAAACAGAGTATGAGTAAACAAGGCACTGAATTAACATTTGACTTTCAGAAAAATCAGATTCATTGAAAGATGCTTAGCGAATAGGTGATGGAGATGATGACAGAGTATACATCAGATCTATGTTTTTATCCACTTGATTATTTTTTAATTCTTGCAGGGTTTGTACAAATTGTGACCACTCATCACTCTTTGGATTTGCAAGTTGCTGAAAAAAAAATTCATATAACTTGTAACAATAAACTAATCTAATGAATTTATAACACTAAGCAGTTTTAAATATTCAAAAAATTTATTTTTTGAATATTTAAAACTTAAAATAGAATAAAGATTTATCAAAAGCATACAAAAGATATTTAATGAATGACTAATCTTAACATAGAAACGAAAATTAAACCTTTTATTTCAAGTGCTTCTAATGAATTATAAGAAATATTAATAATAAATCAAAGCATTGCATAAAATCTAATATTTTAACATTCTTTAATAGAATGTTAAAATATTCCTCCTCTAACTATAAATTTTTTTGTTGATCAGAAACAAAAGCTAAGATCTTTTTATATTTAAATGGAAAGCTGAATTAATCAATGCACTTTTAAAGGCAGGTGAAGTTTAAAATATGCTAACAGTTACATATTAAAGATGTTGTTAAAGATGCAGTGATTAATTCCAATTCATCCTTACTACATGAAAAGAGTTAATTTGCAATGTATATTTTTTAATATGTTGAAGATATTTAGATTATTGTCTTTTATCAGTAATAATATAATTACAACTCTGTGTTAAAATATTATCTCAACAACAGTAAAGCATTTATTCTTGTATTAGAGTATTAAAGCACTCCAATTTTAATACACTTTATAATATAAATGAAAAATTATGAGCAAAATTAAGTTTATTCAATTTCTAATCATTCTCAATTTGAATTAATTCATTACTTTTCCTTTCACTTAAAATAAATGACTCATGAATATTCTAAGAAGTAATTGTCATTAAATTTAAGAAGTAATTATGGTCTATAATTATAAAAGTCATTTAATAAATTTTTAAGATACATTAAAAAATGATTTACTTACAATCTGTATGAGCTAGAAATTTGAAAAATTAATATGAAATATTATGTAGTTCTTATGCATTCATATTATAAATATATGAAGTTTCAAATTTCTAACTTAGAAACACTCTAAATCCAAACACAGTCATATGCCATTATTTACTTCTGTTAATATCATAATTTTAAAGTAACTTCATTTATACAAAAATTTATAGAAGACAGATGTAGATTCTTTTATTTCAAAAAAAATTTTAATACACACACTTGATACATCTTAAGGTTGGTTTACACATTATGACTACCAATGACATTTTGTTACATCCAAAAACATGCACACAAGATTTGTTGATGAGTCAGATGACTTGCAACTCAATCAACTTATATGACTTGCAAGTGAATCTGTGCTTGCACAAAAGCATTCATTTTTCTTCAGTGGTGAGAATGCAATCGAACACAATTTCTATCTTGTTATTGATTGGTTTGATAATGCAAAAACAAAAAAAAACATGACAAATTAGATTTTGATTCAATTATGGCTTATTGAACAAAGATTGCCAAGGTGTGAATTTATTCAAATAAGTCATATCTATGCATATTGCAGTTTCAAGCAACAAAACTGTTGGCAGTAGTCATATTGTGTAAAATAGCCATTAGAATAAACAAGCATATAAGCATATGTATAAACAAACCAATTAAAACAAAGTTTTTGAGTTTATTAATGTTTTTCATATTTGTATAATAATATTTGTGCAATTATAGATTTATAATTTTGATATACCTGTTGGCCTTCACTATAAAGACAAATTCCCAAACTCTAATAGAATATATTTATAATTGAAAAATAATCAGAACTTTTGCTTGACAATGAAATACTCCAATAATATTTAATGGACAAGTTCTTTATGTCTATGAGACTATTCTTTCTTCTAGATAAAAAAATATCACTTTTCCTACAGATTTTATATAATATTGAAATATTGCATAAAGCATTTAACTGATGATTAAACAGTACAGAAATAACAGAGAGAAATCTAAAATGTTCCTGGAAGGTTGGTGCAAAAATGACAACATTGTCAAGATACAAAAGACAAACTTTGCAGCTGAAGCCAATCTATGGGATTGATTTTAGTAGTAGCATTGAATATGTTCTGCTTGTCTGCAATAAAAACAGATTGGAATTTGATTGGCAATATGCCAGATGTCAATGCATTGTACTTTGGCAGGGTGATTAATCAAAGGGAATGGTGGCTTCTCAGAAGTTCTATTTTCTTTTGACATGGCAAGGCATTTCCACTCATACTGAAATAGTTGCTATTTGTTCCAATCTATATTAGAGATGACCTACATAAATGCAAGAAACCTATTGGTGTTCCAAGATAAACTGAGTTTGTCTTATAGCCAAATCTGTTTTAATCAGGCAATGAAGTTCAGCTGGCAAAAGAAATTTTTATTTGCTATGCATTTCAGGATTAAAACATCTTCTCTTTAGGCAGGAATACTCCAATTTTTACATAAACACTTCTCATTAATATCACAATATGCTCCTCAAACTGTTTTTATGGAGAATTCATATAATTTTCACTACTAAACACTTATCTTCCTGAAAAATTCTAAATGCATTAACACTTATGAGGTACTCATAAGTTGTTAATGATTTTACCATTTGATAGTCTTAACTGGAAAATCAGTAGGTTTCCTGCATTTATAATATAAAGTCTGCCATAGTGATTTAGTTTCTAAATCATTGTATGAAGACCTACATAGTGTCATAGCTTATCTCAGATCAGCTTTGCTATGTCACTCTCTCCATCTAGACTTTTCATAATCAATTTACTCAATTATAATAGGAATTTTCAATTCAGTGGTAGAATGATACAAATTTGGCTGTTGAAAAAGATCAGTGACAATTAAAATTTTGAATAAATATTTGCCAATTCCCTACTTCAAATGCACCAACATCTCATCAGCAAGTATATTTAGATCAACTTCTTCTTCAGGTAAACATCAGGTAAAACATGCAGACAAGATTTGTTGATGAGTCAGATGACTTGCAACTCAATCAACTTATATGACTTGCAACTGAATTTGTGCTTGCACAAAAGCATTCATTTTTCTTCAGTGGTGAGAATGCAATCTAACACAATTTCTATCTTGTTATTGATTGGTTTGATAATGCAAAAACAAAAAAACATGACAAATTAGACTTTGATTCAATTATGGCTTATTGAATCAAAAATATATTCAAAGGTAAAAATATTCTGGGTATAGGATTTGCTACATTCAATTACTTGCTGAGCTCAGGTTTCCAAGCAAAATCTTATTCTCTCTCAATGGGTCATATTCCTTTAACAAACAATGAGTTTCTTTGTTCCTCTCACCTCTGTAAATTGTTTCTTGACAGGATTATAGAGTATACAGGTGTGTCAGGCAACTGACAACTGCATGCTGCTGACTGGATCTCTTGGAACAATTCTAGATTCAGTAACCATTTTGGACTGCTGAGCTGGAGTCATCAGAATGATACAACCAACTCTAGATCTTATCCTTGTACTTGCAGAAATCTTCCTTGTGGTAGGTTCACAATGATCTTCAACTTTGGTACTCCTATTGTACCTGATGCTTCCATCAAAAATGTTGTGAGTAGAATAATAGACAATCTCCTTAGAAATACAAAAATTTATTTATTACCTATGAAAACACATTGAATAAACTATTAACAGTAAAATGAGCACAAATTAAATTGGAGAAAAACAGAATGCAATTGCTCTCAGAAGTCTTGTAAAGGAATGATTTCTTCAATACTTCTTCCACTAATAGTTTTTAAAGGTTAGAATCTCTTCTATAATTGAACCTTCATCTAATGATAAAAGTCTGTTAAAAATTCTCTTGGTAGCAATTTATTATTGATAACTGTCAGAAATTAATTTGTGAAATAAATCAAATTTAAATAGAACAACTCAAAATTAGTTGAAGTTTTTACTAGTAATTGTATTTTGAGATTCAATAAGATTATATTTGGATATTTTTCAATTCAATGAGAAAATTTTTATCATCATCTACATAGAAAAATTCATTTGGCAGCAATATACAATAGAGCATTGTTTATCCGAAACATTGGTTAACTGAAAGCATTCCAGTCCACAAATTTAAATTTTCACTAGTGCTGTGGTGCTGCAATCTCTGGCTACATCTTGGGCTACTCCAATATTTTTTTTGTTGGTGTGTGTGTTTTGGTTGTTGGTGTGTGTGTTTTGATTGTTGGTCAGTGCTGGCAGCACTGACACTTTTGTGTGGTGTTTTTCTGAGGACTGTGTGTCGTACCGAATCAAACGTTTTTGATACTAGATTAACTTCTAAAGTATAATTTTTTTTGTTTTTATATTTTTCAATATATTTATTTTGTTTGTAAAAAATAAAGAAATAATTTTTAATGATACAGTAGCCACGATTATTATTTTAAAAAGTTTACATTAGGCTTAACATCGACGAAAATTCAACGCAAAGCGACATGCAACGGAGAAAAATTTCAACATGGGATAGGTTAATGTATTTTTTCGTACATAATCGGTTATCCGAAAAATAAGTTATCTGAACAACCTCAGTCCCCAATTGATTCAGATAAAAGATGCTCTACTGTGTTATTGATAATGACCAAAAATTATATACAATACACTGGTAATTTTACTTTTTTGTGCAATTTTCAGAGTTTTATGTAAAGATTTCAAGAATTCACAATTATTTATTTTAGTAGTTATATTTATCTTAATAGATAGACACTATATTTACCTCTCCTACATCGTAAACCCATATTTTTCCTACATCATCACCTACAACAACCTGATGACCTGAAGGAGCCCACATCAATCTATTTAATGCAGATGCTGCATCCACAATAGTGCTTACAGTAGGCAACTAAAATTCAGGAAAAAATATAAAAAATTTAAATTTTAAAATATTCAGCTGTAATTTGAAAATTCAAATTTGAGACTTTTTATTTTAAAATTTCAATATGATAATTATTCTATTAAGCCATCAGAAAATTACATTTTAAGGGAAATTCTATATGTAAGAAATTCAAAATTTCATAATTAATTATTTTTTTGATTCATTAAATGGTAAGTGCAAAGATAATTTATTTTTAATTATTTTAATATTTGTAAAACTTATTTTTCCAATTGTTAAAATACATTTACATAAATTTCCAAATACTGAAATTTTTGGCTTATCATCAGGAATAAAATTATAGAAGACTATAAATATCAGATAGAACAAGATAACTCTTAAGTTACTTCCAAAAGTCATCATCATTATCATGAGCAAACAATTTCAATATTATGCTCCCATCATACAAACTTTGTTGCAAAAACTATTTATGATAAAATTTTTCCATCAGGAATATGGTATTGGAATCATTAGGCTGCAATTTGAAAAAATTTTAGATCTATAAATTCCCACTGTCGTCTATCTGTTGTCTGTCTTTCCTTAATCATGAGAACGAATTAGATAGATGAAAGATGAGACTATATATGGAAACCTTAAGGGTAGAAGGCCCCAATTAACTATATACGAACTTCCAATGCAAACTGGAAGTCATATTATTTCAATTTAAAAATTTCAAAGGTGTTAGACAGATGACCAGCATGACTCTATTGTTAAACAAAAAGTTGATATACAGGGGCAAGACACTACAGTACTAATTTGAGATGGAAGCATATATTTTAAATTAAATAAATTAAAAATATGATTAAAACTTGCAGCTCCTTTGTGATGATGTCACAATAAATAATTGCTTGTCTGTATATGGAAATAATGCCAGGGTGCAATTTTTCACCACAGTGCATTTAAGTTTATAGTGTCTTGCCCCTATACATCATTCTTTTCCTATTAACAATGAATTCATGCCAGTCGTGTATCTAACTCTGTTCAGGAGAAAATTTTTTAATTGAAATAGCATGGCTTCTGGCACAAAGCAGTAGTTTGTATATAGTTGATCAGTGCCTCCTGCCCCTAAGCTTTCCATATTTGGTTTTGACTTTCATCTATCTAACCCCATTCTTAAGATTAAGAAAGGACAACAGAACAGTGGAAATTTATAGGTTTACAATTTTTTCAAAAGTTTGAAAAAATTGTAAACCTATAAATAATAATAATTTGTTTATGCTGTTTTCAAACTGCAGCCCAACAAATATCATTGTTGGACTGCAGTTTGAAAACAGCATGAACAAATGATTCCTATATAATCCAAATAAAAAATTATTTTTATGTAGTTTCTCCTGTGAATGTACTTTTGATAATGATTGAAAGGCTTGAAAATTTATGCAAATGTTACTAGAATTACTAGTACTTAATATTGTGTAATGATATCAAAACATATTACATTTCCAAAGATGTCTACATTAAAAAATGACAATACTGCAATTTTTATTTAACTTATATAAAAAGAAAATTAGTTAATTAATTAATTAAAGAAAACACAAGGAAGAAAAAAATTAAATCAGATTAAAAATTTAAACTATAAAAGAATTCTCAAAACAAGATTCAAATTTTTCTAAATGTTTTTAAAGAAATTAATTTTCTATACTAGAATATATTACCTCTGTATCATTGTTCAGATTCCATAAATCAAGCCTTCCCATTCCATCAACAGATGCAAATAAAGCAGGGTGTATTGGTGACCATTGTACATCATATACATAGTCACCATTATCCTCAAATGAATACAATGGTTTGTTTTCCTAATACATATTATAATTTGCTTAATTTAAAAATGTAATAATATTAAAAAAAAATTTTGATTATAACTAAAGATTAAATTAAAAACCTTTAAACTCCAAAGTTTAACAGTCCAGTCAATGGAAGAAGTTAAAAATAAATGTGAGAAGTCTACTTGACCTTGAACATGATGCATATTTACACTAGTCACTGGTCCCTGATGGCCTTCAAAAACATCTACAATTCCTGGTTTTGTGCCATGACGACAAGCTAAAGTAAACAATTTGATTATTTTTACTCATCTCACCTACTTGAAATAAGCAAAGTCATTTTATAATAATAATTATAATTTATAATTTAATAATTAACCAACTAAACAAACAAATAATAAAAATATGTCTTAAACTATATAATACAGAATGATCAAACAAAAAGTTTATTTAAATAATAATGTCCAAACAAACAATTTTGAGTCAATTTAAATCTTTATCCTCTTTTTAAATTCCAGTCAGAGACCTAGTTAACAACTTGAAGATAAAATACATTCTTCTTTAAAATTGAAGAATGATATAACAATAAAAACACATACTTTATACACTTGATGCCAACCTTTTCTTGTAGGATACTACACCAACAACACACAGTACTAAAATTTTTCACAGTATCATTTGTGAAGAGTTTGGAAATGCCATACTTGTTCCCTGCTATATATCACAAACATTTAAATCTTTAACATTTATCATATTTACTCTGGACTCAAAGAATAACACTTGAAACACTAAACCAGTGGTTCCCAAACTTTTTCAAGCAACTGCTCCCTTGGTTCCATAACATTATACCCAATTCCCCCAAACCCATTTTCCTTATGTGAGAAAGGCTTGGAAATATTCTTAGGAAAATTTTTCTATGAACCTCACACTTTGTGTCCTTACCATACATTGTTCTCAAATCTGGAAACCATTAAATGCAATGTTTCTTCTTACCTGTTTTAATGGAGAAAAGGAAAAAATTGTCAGTGACTCCAGCCTAGTCACTGTTTAGCACCCTGCCTCCAGCACCCACTGCTGCCTACTTTCTTTTTTATGCTCCCCCAAGATTTACTCACTGCCCACAGAAGACAGTGGCACTCACATTGGGTACCACCACTCTAAACAAATAAAGTTTGTGATTAATACTAACTTTATAAATAAGGCTAAAATTTGATTATTTTCATAGCAGTATGAACAGAACAGACAATAGAATAGAATAGACTCCAGTCTAGAATAGTCAAAATATAAGTTTCTTTAGTCTGCCATCTGCAGATATATTTATTCTATTCTTATGATACAGACAGAAAGAGACATTATTCTATTCTTATGAGCAAAAAATAAATAAAATCAGTTCAAGAAAACCTTAGAAAAATTAATCAATATTAACATTTTTTTAAAATTAACTCAAAGTTTTTTGAATATTTATCATCATATTTATATTTGTGTTTAAAAGCTTGAGTTTATAATTTATATTTTAGGATATGATGACAATTATGAAATGCTGTAAAAAAAATACTGATTACTTATAAAATTAAATTCATTTAAAAAAATCATATTGTTTCTTTGAAGATTTTCAGATGAAATGATTAAAAATTATCTGAATTTAATCTGAACTAACTAAAGATTCAACAGCCTTTCTTTTTAATCATCTGTATATGCCTTCCTCTTCCTCTATCCTACTTGCTTAAGAAAATATATTACAATAATCAGATTTATCACTTTTAGGCTACTCCAGTGGCACTCTAGGGTGCTGTGGCTTCCTCACAGGGGAGCCACAAAATATTATAAAATTTTTATAATGTTAGAATTTAATGTACCAGTACTTGCTAGAATTTGACATAGGGCACCTTGGAAAAATCTGCATTTAGCAAGAGTACCTAGAATCAAAAGTTTGGGAACCACTAGGCTACTCTATAATTAGCTGTAAATAATTTTTCACAATTTCTAAAATCAAGACAATGTTTTCAAACCCTTAGACATTTTAAAATTTGAATATAGCTGTAACTTGATAAAAAAAATTATCATATATCTATTTTTTTTGGTAGTTAAATTTGGAAATTTTATGTATGGTGTGTAAGTGAGATTCAAACAGTTTCTTTTTTTTTTTATAGATTATGTACAATAGTTAACCAAACCATAATCTTTTATGAATTTTAATATAAGAAATTACCTGCATAAAGAATGCCTTCTTCACTTCCCACAACAAAATTATTATAATCACCAGTAGGAAATGATATACAGCTTGCTGCAACTGCTCGAGATTGTTTTTGTTGGTTCAATTCCATAGAATCCTATTAAAAATGACAATCATTACCTACATTGAAATAAAGGATTTATAAAAATGAACAAAATTCAATTTCTTAAATTTCTTATGTCAATACTTACTATAGGAGATGATAACATATCTAAACTCCAAGTTCGGAATTTTCCATCAGTAGAAACTGTTATAAGATTATGAGCATTTTCTGTTCCAACCACTTGAACAGAATATACAGGATGCTATGTAATTTATTGAGAACATACATTTATTTTATCTACATTTATACTACTTAACATTCTAATTATTTTTATTTATTTATTTATTTATTGGAACAAAGCTTATGAAATTTACTACTCACAGTATGTGCACTTGCAGACAATGGACTTCTTTGAACTGGAGTGCGTTTATTACTCCGATTGTCCCATAAAACTATTTGACCAGAATAAGTTCCTCCAATTATTAAATTTGGATGAAATTTGGCAAAACATGTTGACATCACAGCAGACTATAATAAATTACTTATTGAAATTTTTACTTTCATAAATAAGTCAAATATAAATGTGAGATTTAATTATAATACATATCAATAAATATAAATTAACAATGTACAGTACATAACATCTAAATCTACTTATATGTATGTATATGAAGAGTTACTTTAACTAAAACTATTTAGTTAATTAATCTTGATTTTAAAAACAGAATAATAGAGTCTCTTAATATTTTTTGTTAAAATAACTCTTATGGCTGAGAGTAAGAGTATTTTCAAAGAAAATAACTTAAAGTTAAAAGGAAACATATTATTCAGGCAAGATTCATTATTCTAAACAACAATAAAAAGCCACTGCAATTTATACATTTTTATTTTATATGTTTTGAAAATAGTATGATCTCTTTAGTAAAAGTAAAAAATAAATAAATTATTACATTCATAAAAATCAATAAATATACTTTATATTTGTATAAATAGAAGTTGTAATGTTCATGATTTTTTACCATGATTTAAAATTAAAGATAAGGGATGCTGTTACCATTCATATCATATGTAATAATTAGAAACAATTTAATTAATTAATTAATTTAATATATTTAAAAACACCCCCTGGAACAGTAATCTAATACTGTATGTATAAATATTCCAAATTAATTAAACTGTTTGGTTATTGTTTGTTTATATATGAACATGCTTTTTTATTTATGAAAGACAGAGAAAAAAAAATTGATTACTAATTCAAATTAACTTTAATTTGTTACATTTCAATGAATGATATTTATATTATCTATCAGATTTTTTATTATATGTAGTTAATTTTAAACTGAACTGTAAATTAATTTTGTACATTTTTATGTTGTAATATCCTGAATACTTAATAAACTTAATCACTTTATCCATTCTGTATATATATATACAAAATACTTAGCTTAAAATTTCAGTGATAAAAAAAAAAAACAGAAATGACAGCACAGAAGATTAATGAATCATCACAAAATTTCTGAATACGTGGACAATGTGAGCAAAGTAAATAGTGGAATTTGGACCTACCCTGCAGAGGGTTCAGCAAAGAAAGTGAGTGGAAGATGAGAGAAGCAAGGGATTGAACTGCTTATCTATAAATTCTACTATAATTTGCAAATCCACCAACTTGTGAATATTAAATCTATAAATTTTTGAACAAGTGAGCACAGCTCTCTAGTAGATCTATAACTTACTGAAAATTTACTTAATATTTATTATTTAACTACTAACTTGTTGTATTTATTTCAATATATGAATAAATTAATAAAGAAAAACAAACAGTAAAAAGAAAAACAATTTACTAAATTCTAAGAAATGAAACTTAAAATATTGACTTTTGAGTTTCACAGTGCCTTCTTTTTATGCACTGTTATCTTAAGTATAATAGATTGAAGTAGGTAAGAATAATTAATTTTCATTCTCATCTACTGCAGATTTTTGAAGCTTTTGAACATGGTTAGGATCTAATCTGCTTCTTTTCTTGTTATGATTCGACTAGAGGTGTTGAACAGTCACTGTCTATACATATGGTATAATATTAGAAGTATTCATAGTAGAGTCCTAAAAAGTTGGCCTAATGTGGACCAAAGGGTGGCAGAGTTTGTGAAAATGCCAGGTTATCGGAAATGGGGTTAAAAAAGAATAAGTACGAGTGTTTTCTCAGAAAATACTGTACTGTACTTGTATGTATTGTTTGCTTGAGAATACAACAGAGATTAAACTGCCCAAATACCCTTAAACAAAGAAAATGTACTGTACTTGTATGTATTGTTTGCTTGAGAATACAACAGAGAATAAACTGCCCAAATACCCTTAAATAAAAGAAAAGTACATACTTTATGAAGGCACAGAGCCTTTACTACATGAAAATGAAAATTAATGAATACACAGTGTACAGTAATTTACCTGATAAGACAGACCTCAGAAAAATACTTTATGAGGCATAAAGCTATCTATAATGAAAATTAACTAGCCGACTGCAAAAACTGGCTACTTTTTTTTAAAGAAATGCATAATGTCCTGTTGTCTTCTGCAATGCACTCTGTGTTTTGCTGCTTCATCACAAAGACGAAGAAGGAACAGCAAGTCCGTTACCGATGCACCTTGTTGTTCAAAATACTAAAGGGTGGTTTCGACAACCTTTAGTCCCTCACTATGTGATATTTTAGGAGCTTGTATGGTGGAGTCCTCAATGTCTTCATCATATTCCGGCATTTTTTCATTAACTATGACAGCAGCAATAATTTCTGCATCAGACATAATGTCTTGCTCGGTATCGTTTTGGAACCACTGTTCGACATCATTTTCATCGGCTTCTGCACATCCAGGAACTCTTTTCAGGAGGTTGAGTAAGTTTTCACCAGGAACAAACTAGTATTAATGACTCTAATTTGTTCCAGGTGTCCACCACCCAGCCAACAACATCCAATAGGTTAATTTTAAGTTCTGGATAAGACCTTGACTATCATCGTTTGCAGAAAGAAGGGAGGATAACAGCTTGCGCCAAGTTTTTGGGATTCTACTGTATTCAAATTTATTTTTTTTTTATCACCATTATATTCAAGACCTTGAATCGAATATTTTCTAGTATTCAAATATTTGTGGATAGTATTTGACTATCTCTAATTTTCACTGTTAATGTCCCTGAAGATAATTTACCAAAACCAAAATTAACAAAAAAGCAGAATTGTGCTTGAAATTTTTATTTGTCAGCTAAAAATTTGGCATACTAAAAGCAATTTATGATATAAAAGTATTGTGTCAAGAATAAGTTTCTAAAAGCCAAAAACTACCTATTTTGATATTTACATGTATTTATATTTTTAAAATAATGAAACAGATTTCAATTAGCATAATTCATGCAGATGTAATTATTTTTGCTATACAGTAGAGCATCAATTATCCAAATCAATTGGGGATTGGAGTTGTTTGGAAAATTGATTTTTCAGATAACCGATTAGGTACGAAAAAATATATTAACCTATCTCATGTTGAAATTTGTTCAAATCCTGGCATGTCCTTAAGTACCCTCTCATGGTCGGCCAGTGCTGCCAGCTAAAACACATAGACCAACAAAAATAATATTGGAGTAGCCCAAGACATAGCTAAATATTGCAGTGCCACAGCACTAGTGGAAATTTAAATTTGCTGACTGGAAAGCTTTCAGTTGATCAACATTCGGATAATCGATGCTCTACTGTATTTGCAACAAATAATGGTTAATTTACTAAAATGTTTTCTAATTTATGTAGCCATAACATTTTTGTATATGGAATCATCAGTTATTTAAATTCTAAAATGAACATTACAACTGAGTAAATGTTTCTAATCAGTCAGTTATGAAACACCTTTATAAAAACAGTAGTTACAATGAAAACATTTACAAAGTTACAAAGTTAAAAATTTATCAATACAGTAGAGCGTCATTTATCCGAATCAATTGGGAACTGGGGTTGTTCGGATAACTTATTTTCTGGATAACCGATTATGTAAAAAAAATATATTAACCTATCTCGTGTTTAAATTTTTCTCCATCATGTGTCGCTTCATGTTGAATTTTCATCGATGTTAACCCTAATGTAAACTTTTTAAAATAATAATTGTGGCTATTGTATCATTAAAAGTTATTTCTTTATTTTTTACAAACAAAATAAATATATTGAAAAATAAAAACAAAAAAAATTATACTTTAGAAGTTAATCTAGTATCAAAAGCATTCGATTCAGCTCGACACACAGTCCTCGGAAAAACACCACACAAAAGTGCCAGTGCTGCCAGCTAAAAAACACACACCAACAAAAAAAATATTGGAGTAGCCCAAGATATAGCCAGAGATTGCAGCGCCACAGCATTAGCAAAAATTTAAATTTGCTGACTGGAATTCTTTCGGATAACTGACGTTTCGGATATAATCGTTTTGAATATAAATGACTTTCAGATAAACGATGCTCTACTGTATTTAAAATTTAAAAACTTATAATAAAAATGTGTATAAAACTTTTTACATATAATTTGATATCAATATTAATAACAGAAATTAAGATCTTAGAAGAAAATTGTATATACATTTCCTTAAAAAATTATAATTTTCTAATTCAGCCGTTGTTCTCAATTCTTAATGAAATTTTAACTATATAACAATTTAGAGTAAGCTACCTGGCAATGAAATATATATTCTGGAGTTGTTTTCTTAAATTTCATATTCCATACAAGACAAACGCCATCTGGGTCATGAGGAGATTCTTCATTATTATTATATGATGCAACAAGAAGTTCAGGAAACTAGAAAGTTCACAGTGAAAATTCTGTTTATTTAAATNAACTAACTGGTGCAAAAAATGTTATGCATACAAATGTGAAAGTCTCATTCCATAAACCATTCATAGATGCCATTAAAATATAGTTTTACAAATGTTAAATGCGGCATCGTTTCTTGTGTTTGTTCTGTGAGGTGTTCGTTTATCTGAACATGTGTTTGTTGTCCAAACATAAAAATCTTTCGCAAAAGTGTTCATTGTCCAAACTGTTCATTAACCAATCATCCACTGTATGTTCATGTTTATTCAAAACATAACCTCAACATTCACTTTATGTTGTTAGGATAATAATATTAATTTTATTATTTAAAATATTAAAACAAGTTATCATCTCAAAGAATAGATATTACAATATTAATATTTCTATGTACAGTACTTGCAGAGAATGATATAACATTTCTTAACAAACACTAATGCCAGACAATTCTTAATCAAAGCTAAAAAATACATTTTGGTTTTGATTAAATAAAATAAATTGTTCAAAACATCGAACGATAGAACGGCATCATGTGTTCCATATTCCCGAATGTAAAAAAAAAAAAAATCTTCAATTACCTCCGCTATGACGTGGAAACTTTTACGTTTGGGAATATGGAACATGTGATGCCGTTCTATCGTTCGATGTTTTGAAAAATTCTCTTGAAATGAATGGTTAGTTTGACGATTTTTACCTAAAATAAATTGTTTAAATTTCTTTATATAATAGTACATCTACTGTATCAATTTGATAAGAATTGTAATTGAACTATACAGGGTGTCCCACTCAAATCTCTCCAGTTTTAAATGTCTCTATGAAATGAAAAAATTATAAAGATAACTGTTAATGAAATGTCTCTTGAAAAATCAGCCAATACTTCAAGTTACATGTGTTCAAAATTTCCACCACTAACTTGTGGTGGCATTGCTGTTCTGTTAAAGTAAATGAAGACACTGCAAGAGAAAGTGCAGACTGTATCATGATTCTGCAAATTGAAGTTAGTTGTGTAAGTAGAACATGAGTTTTGCTGTGTCTACAAGAAATCATCTCCTGATCCTAAGTCAATATATGATGGGCACAAAGTCTCTGGCTACAGAATCCATATGCAAAAGTCATGGATAAGGTCAACATATTTCTGGGGAACAAGTGGAAGGCCTGTAGCAACCATTTGTCCAAAGTCCAGAAAAGTCCATTTGCAAGGCCACTCATGTATTTGGAATACTGAGAATGCCTGTTCATGTGCTTTTGCACTAACAATTGTGGTTCTATGCATATATGATGTAAATCTTATAGGAAATTAACAACTTGACATCTGACATGTTGTATTGAATATGGACTGAAATCAAGTACAAATGGATATCCTAAATGAAATGTTGGGAGCACATGTGTAGATGTACTGATTTTACAATATGTAAGTAAGTTTTTGAAATGTGCTTTCTATTAAACCTATTCACATTTCAATTTTGAAAGTTTTAAATAGATAAATTTGAAAATAAAGGTAAACATTTAAATAGTTGTAAAGGAGTAAAAATATTTATTTAATATAATAAATATTTTTAAGATTAAACAACAGAAATTGAACAAATGTTTGATCCACACTGTTGTTTAATTTACAAACAGAGAAAGTGTTTGATTTGTTGAGTTAATAATGATTTTAGGCTAGGATTTGAAGTATACAGTATATTCCAAAAATATTTAACACATTAAAGTTCTTTTCTGACTCTATAAGACTGTCTAAGCATTTTATTTTTATTTGCAAAATAAAACACTAATAGTAAACTGCTAAGATTTCTAAGTTTTTGAATAAATAATAATTCAAAATTTATAGTAGAGTAATAAATTCATATTGTTTTTGATAATATATTTCATCAAAAATATGCTTAATATTTTACTGTTCAATTTATAATTAGAAAATAAATAATAATTTTTTATAATATAGTGGGTGATCGGTTAACGAACATAATCCATTCCAAGACAGTGTTCACTATCCAAATTGTTCATTAACTAATTATCAATTTACCATAGATTTTTATGGTAATTTGATTAATTCATTCTGAAAACCTCAAAAAATAAATAAAAAATTATATCCTTTCTTACTGCATTTATTTACATGTAATAACAAACTAAAAGCAATCTCTCTATTTTTTCATGGATGGCACATCTTTGATTCTTAGATGTGATTTTCGTTACTCCTTTATCTGCTTGAGTCTTTTTGATTTTATCTTGCTTAGCTAAGATTGTGCTTACTGTAAACCTGTTGAAGTCATACTGCCTGACTACATCAGACATCTTCCCATTGTCTACCTTGGCTATTATCTCTTGTTTAGTTTCTATAGTGAACACAGTTCTTGGACACTCCACTCTTTTTAGGCCCCATAATATTATCAGTTTTCTTAAATAAAAAGTTCAGAAAAACACTTAAAAAGTTCAAAGAACAGAAACTAACTGGTGCAAAAAATGTTATGCATACAAATGTGAAAGTCTCATTCCATAAACCATTCATAGATGCCATTAAAATATAGTTTTACAAATGTTAAATGCGGCATCGTTTCTTGTGTTTGTTCTGTGAGGTGTTCGTTTATCTGAACATGTGTTTGTTGTCCAAACATAAAAATCTTTCGCAAAAGTGTTCATTGTCCAAACTGTTCATTAACCAATCATCCACTGTATGTTCATGTTTATTCAAAACATAACCTCAACATTCACTTTATGTTGTTAGGATAATAATATTAATTTTATTATTTAAAATATTAAAACAAGTTATCATCTCAAAGAATAGATATTACAATATTAATATTTCTATGTACAGTACTTGCAGAGAATGATATAACATTTCTTAACAAACACTAATGCCAGACAATTCTTAATCAAAGCTAAAAAATACATTTTGGTTTTGATTAAATAAAATAAATTGTTCAAAACATCGAACGATAGAACGGCATCACGTGTTCCATATTCCCGAATGTAAAAAAAAAAAAAATCTTCAATTACCTCCGCTATGACGTGGAAACTTTTACGTTTGGGAATATGGAACATGTGATGCCGTTCTATCGTTCGATGTTTTGAAAAATTCTCTTGAAATGAATGGTTAGTTTGACGATTTTTACCTAAAATAAATTGTTTAAATTTCTTTATATAATAGTACATCTACTGTATCAATTTGATAAGAATTGTAATTGAACTATACAGGGTGTCCCACTCAAATCTCTCCAGTTTTAAATGTCTCTATGAAATGAAAAAATTATAAAGATAACTGTTAATGAAATGTCTCTTGAAAAATCAGCCAATACTTCAAGTTACATGTGTTCAAAATTTCCACCACTAACTTGTGGTGGCATTGCTGTTCTGTTAAAGTAAATGAAGACACTGCAAGAGAAAGTGCAGACTGTATCATGATTCTGCAAATTGAAGTTAGTTGTGTAAGTAGAACATGAGTTTTGCTGTGTCTACAAGAAATCATCTCCTGATCCTAAGTCAATATATGATGGGCACAAAGTCTCTGGCTACAGAATCCATATGCAAAAGTCATGGATAAGGTCAACATATTTCTGGGGAACAAGTGGAAGGCCTGTAGCAACCATTTGTCCAAAGTCCAGAAAAGTCCATTTGCAAGGCCACTCATGTATTTGGAATACTGAGAATGCCTGTTCATGTGCTTTTGCACTAACAATTGTGGTTCTATGCATATATGATGTAAATCTTATAGGAAATTAACAACTTGACATCTGACATGTTGTATTGAATATGGACTGAAATCAAGTACAAATGGATATCCTAAATGAAATGTTGGGAGCACATGTGTAGATGTACTGATTTTACAATATGTAAGTAAGTTTTTGAAATGTGCTTTCTATTAAACCTATTCACATTTCAATACACATGCTTATATTCTCAAAATTATTACTAAAAATTAAGAAAGGGAAAGCTAAGAGATACCCTATATATAGAATATTAATTTTTTAATTATTTTTATTATGTAATCTGATTGACTTACTTTTTGGTTTTTTATTAGCTGCATCTGAAGTTTTTGGCTTGTCTTCTAAATTTCCTGTTTGTGATATTGCATTTAAATTAGGTACTCCAGGAACTTTTGGTAAAGTAAGACCATTTGGAAATAGTATTGGAGTGTCTAGATCTTGAGACAAAGGTGAAGGTTCACCATCTTCCACCAATCCATCACAAATAGGAACTGAATAATTTTTATAAATTTTAATAAATATATCTTATATTACAAAATTTTAAAATTTAAAATAATCATTGTAAGCTATTGTGAAGTCTACACTAATATATAAAATAGAATAAACAGAAAGTGTTTTTATAAAGTACTAACTGTTACTTGCAGCTTCGCTCACGCGCATTTTGCAAGCAAACCCCACTTGTATTCAATATTTCAACAACCACAGTAATTGTTATATAACACCTACTGCTGAGAATGATGAGAATCGCTGAGAATCAAACAAACTGTTTTTAATTTAATAAATTTTCTGGAACGTTTATAATCGTTCTATAATCGAACCAATATGCAAAAAGAAATTTGAATTTAAAGCGATTTGAACATTTGGTTAAAAAATCGAAATATATAAAAAATATTTATAAAAACGTCTGAAATGTTATCAATTTAATACCGCTAAGTACTCAATGAAGACTAAACATAATTAAAAACAAAAAAACTTGCATCTACAATAGTACAGTAGAAGTTGTTTTTCCAGTTAAGCCTAATTCCTTCTTAGTGTGCATTCCCATGTTATATCCTACTAAAACGCAGTTAAAAACAAAATATCACATCTAAAATAGTACAGTAGAAGCCATTTTTCCCGGTTAAGTCTTAATGCTTTCCCTCTCCCCGCACAAGGGAATTTCGAAAAATCCCTTCTTAGTGTGTGTTTTGATGATGTACCCTAACTGTATACCAAATTTCATCTCTAGGTTCTAGAACTTTCTAGAAAAAACTGGAACGTTCTCATTGAAACGTCACACATTTTCGAAGTCAACCACTTTCAAACCCCA